TGAGTTAAAAGTGTTTACTGGTTAACTAAGCTGATCTTTTCCTGAAATGTATTTCACTGTCCTCAGTGGCTGCTCCTCCGGCAGCAGGCCTATAAGGTCAGCCTGGCCGGGTCGCTGTTTTTCGCCGGGCTGCTGGTGGGAAACGTCGTGTTCGGGCCGCTCTCCGACAAGATCGGCAGGAGGCCGGTTTACCTGACAGGTGAGTGTCAGGGTTATGCCCCTAAACACTTCTAAACTCATTGCTGTAAGAGGACAAAAATAGACACAAACACAGTAAGTACAGTGAATACTTACAAGGAGACTTTACTATCTCCAACCTACTCTGAGTTCTCTCCTGCTCCCCTCTCCATTTATTTGGTTCCACCCTATCACAGCTTTGTTACTTCATCTTCTCCAAAGACAGAAGGGATACACATGTTTAATTACCCATCGTTCTTAATCACAGGATGCACTGATTGAACAGGAAGAAAAAAGTTTAGTCTTTCCTCTGTTTCCAAACAGGACTGTGGTCTCAAGGGTCACTACTGTGGTCAGCAGACACCATTATATGTAAAACAGCTTGTGCTTATGACATACCCTTCTTTCTAACACACAAGCACAGTTAACCCCTTATACACACACACATAGGTAATTCAGAGAACGCATGATAACTTATGGAACATTATTCTAACAGTGAGACGCCCTTCGACTCATCGTTTCAAGGCAGATGCCCCGCCCCTTTCTGGTTCTGCTCCAGGTTTCTTCCTCCTAAAGCCAGTTGTTTCCTCCCTGTGTCGCCTAGTGCTGCTTTTGGTCTCTTGCCCTCCATCTCTCGCTCTCTCTCTCTCTTTCTCTCTCTCTCTCTCTCTCTCTCTCTCTCTCTCTCTCTATTACTCACCCCTCTCTGGTTCTGCTCTAGGTTTCTTCCCCCTAAAGGTGGTTTTTCCCTCCCTTCTCTCTCCCTCTCTCGCCCTCTCTCTCCCCTTTTCTGGTTCTGCTCCAGGTTTCTTCCTCCTAAAGGCAGTTGTTTCCTCCCTGGGTTAAACTAGCCATTTACAATAAGGTTAAATAAGATAAGCTAAACTAAAATAAGACAGCTTAGACAAGCTACACTAAGCTAAAATAGGATATGCTAACATAAACTAAGATAAGATAAACTAGCCATTTAACGATAAGAAATTCTAAACTAAGCTAAAATAAGATATGCTACGATAAGATAAGCTAAGTGAAACTAGCCACTAACAATAAGATAAAATAAGCTAAGCTAAACTAAAATGAACCATCTTAGACAAGCTACACAAAGTTAAAATAAGATATGCTACCATAAGCTAAGCTAAGTTAAACTAGCCACTAACAATAAGATAAAATAAGCTAAGCTAAACTAAAATGAACCATCTTAGACAAGCTACACAAAG